AAACCAGACCGTATGCGTTGAGAGAACGGACAAACATACACAAATACTACTGTGCGGGTTTTCTGCGGTTGAGCTGATGGCTCCGGTGATGTGTTCGCTGCTCGTACCGCGTCTTGTTCGTCACGGTGTCTGAGGACTTCAGGTACAACAAAGAAATTCCCAGCACACGGAGAAACACATCAGACGAGCTTAACGACCCGCGGTACAACGCGAAAACACATTGACATCGGATACCTATTTGGATTCATTATTTACGACTTGCTAAAGTTACACATCAAGTGATATCCCCTGGTTACATAAAACATGGTATGCAGGTAAATGATGCACCAAAGGCAGAATTGACTGGGGCTAAGCGAGTTTCGGGTCATGTGAGTTGCAACAGCTGGCCCGAGTGACACAATCTCCCTATTGATGGCAGTATAAAGGAGTTGTGCATCTGCACCCATCCCAAAGGTGTGAGAAGAAACACAGCCACGCCACCACATCTCAGCTCGGCCACAGTTTTGCCCCCCAATGCTCCTATCACAGCAAATATATGAAATCTGACATTTGGAAATATTGTCGTGGAATGTAACACGCATATTTTGGCTTAACTTCATTTTCGGTTCCAAAATCTGACGTAAAGCCTTAGGTGTAGCATTCACTTAACCAAAAGAATTGTCACCCACTGTGCTGGAAGAAGTACGGCTTTATCATACTGCAGTGTTATTATAAATATTCATTTTAGATTATTATAGGTAAGGAAAGAACTCGCAAAAAATATTTCATATTGGAGAAGAAATTGTCGCAGTGGGAGAAACATCGTCTTGGTGAGATATTTTCTTACCTATAATTGATTTTTTTTCATTATCTACCGTGGGCGATGGCCACATTTGCTTGCTTTGACGCATGTTGGAATCTGAACGTCGTAAACTAACTTACAACACGGGGGAAGCCGTACCAGACACCAGCAGCGGTGTTCAGATAAGAATTGGGTGGTTCAACGGCTGACGATGAGTCCACTCCATGCACTTGAGCTGCTTTTTATGAGCATGCACTGTACACATGTCATTTAAGTTGCATTAATGTGGCACTCAGGGGGGAGGGTAGTAGTAGTAGTCGGCAGTCCAGAGGACAACACTTCATTCTTGGGGGTCAGATGTTGTCCCTGCTCCCGCATATGAGCTTTTTCTTTTCTCCACTTATTAAATGCGTCTGCTCATTTGTTGAAACATTATTCTGGTGACTTGTCTCTTTTTTTTGCACAACAGCTATGGGAAATGTACATCTTGCAGAGTTATGGTGGTTCCATTTACTTGTTAAACACCAGTTGTCGAATGATTATGCCATTCTCCAAGTTGACATACGGTAGTTAGAAAATATATAAAATTAACATAGAGACATTGTACCCACATTTTATATCCGATATTGTACATATACCGTACATGATCGTTGACTGACTGGGTGAATGTTATAAATTTTCATTACGTTCGGGTAAGACAGCGGGGAGCATGAGCGCAGTGGTTATCACTTCGCTATAAACCCGGTGACCCGGGCTCAATTCCCGGCGACGGCTAATATCAGCGGTGGGTGATATCTGAAACCGTCCTCCATCAACCAGTGTGGTGAAGTATGGTGAAATATTCATTTGAAGCTTTCGTGACTGCAGGAATCCATACTCTTTGGGTCTTTCGGTAAAGCCACGTAGGTAAAAAAATAATAGATCACGACGTTTCGGCCGCTTGTGTCGCCTGATGACGGACTCTTGTGGCTTTACCGAAAAACCCAAAGAGTATGGAAGTATGGTGAAACAATGCTTATGGGCAATGCAGCATGGGACGGACCATCTTCCGCAGTACATTGTTATCGAGGGCGTGAGGTTTTTCTTTTCATATAAAGGTTATTAAGTTGAACATTTGCACAAATATATCCGTCTGCTTATGCTGTAACCTTAAAAATAAAAAATAAACACATGTATACATTTTTATTTATTTTACACTCATAAACACAAATTACAGCCTGGACATTTATTTAAAATCACAGGTTGAGTCTACATTTCTAAATGTTTCTAGGGCTTATGCTCAACACTTAAAATACTGTGTACATCATCAAGGGACAAATTTGCATGCCCTGTGGTGTGATGAAATATCTGGAAAGCGGACGGAATCGCAGTTCAAAATTAACATGTCCTCATGGTCAAAGACATTGATGCCACTACTCATATTTACTCGTATATAATTGTGCAACACCTATTACAGTATCTATATTGCACTTGTGCAAATCATTGTTTCATGCCTCAGAGTAATCTTGCAAAAAATGTCCACTCGTTTGCCGCATGCTTATCTGCAATGGTATCCACGAAGCATAGTGACAACGTAACCATGTTGTTTTTGAAAGTGTAGTGTTTGATTTGTAATGTGGAGAATAGCTGCATATTTGATGACGTTCATTTCATGGACTTAGCATCACGAACGAAGCGCAGCTGGCGATTAGCGTTGACATTTCTGTTGGCTCTACAGCATGTCATTATCATGGTCATGTCAAGAGGGGAAAAAAGTCAGGCGATTAAATGCATAACAAATAGCATGTAGGCACCACCGATATACCCATCTGTGTATAATGCAATTCATAATAACATGGACTTAGGAATTGATTTTAGAGGATCAGTTGCTATGGGAACCACTCCATGAAATTACAAGCACATGCCAAAATGACTTTTCAAGGAGAAAAACCTTTAATGCGCCCCTATGATAGTGGTTGAAATGTGATGGTGTCATAACATTGACACTGCTGTATTATACTCTCTTTTAAACAATACATTGCTGGACATTTTAATTTGGAAGCTCAGGGTTATTGTATCAGATATTACATTATTCATGGTGGAAATCGGATGTTTTTATGGGTTTGTGGTACCGTGCATCGTTGTCATTTTTCACACAGAATGTGGATGGAATTGTCGGTGCAAAGGTGGCAATAACCAATATGTGAGTAAAATATAAGATAGAGGGGCAGACGTCCACCATTGACTTCTCACGCAACTTGGTAGAAGAGCTTTCGCTAGAGGGAGCTCTGGAGTGCCCCTAAAGAGATTATTTTGGCCTACTCTTCTACACCGATCAGACGTCTTGGAAGTGGTGGCAGCACCCACGCTTTACCCCCAACACATGAGACCAACACGCGCCGTTTGACAATGACGGCCCCCTTCCCAACTGGGACATGTCTCAGTCTGCCTCCGTTGAGCGGGACATACTGCTAGATGGCGATGATGGCTGACGGACGAGGTAGTGACGGAATGGCAGCCAAAGGAGATAACGCTTATGGCAGGCTAATGTGTCCGTGAACTGTAGTCAAATAGCTCTGAAGAAATCTTTATCGGCGCTTGAAGTAATCTACTGCACTTTGGAGCACATGTAAAGGTGCAGCCCTGCAATTGCTCCCTCGCGTCACTGCTGGAGGAAGTGCTTCCACTAGCGGGGGGTCTAGAGGGTATTTGGTCTACTCTTCCACGCTGGCCAGACGTGTTGAAATAGGTGTGAGTACCCACACTTTACCCCACCACTCCGCGACCTGCCGATCAACTTAACTGTGGTGGACCAATTTTTATAATTCTGGGTGAACAGAGGCGGACGGGAGTGAGGGTGGTGCCATTCAATGAACTTGTAATATTTTTTAAATGCCGCGCCGGGAGATAAGATTATGGAACCAGCTACCACCTATGGATTGCAGGTCCCGTGGTGCTAAGCATTACACACCACGGGCAGCCCGTATAACAACAATACAGCTGACATACAATCAATTGCAGTATCGGCTTTATAAAGGGCACTCAAGTGGCGATAATCGTCATGATCGTGACAATGTAATATCGCATGGCTGTTTATTTAGAGAGTTTTGCTGCTATAAATTTCCACACGAGCTATCATTTGTGGCCAGGTCGCTTCTGATGAATAAGTTAATACCTCAGTGGGCTTAACATGGCATGATATGAATAAATTGTGTTTTTATTCGTAGAAAATTTTAAAAGTTCTTTTTGTTTCACCTTTCCTATACTTTGCATGCCTGCCGTGTTTTTTTTGTATTGTTTGTTGTTGTAACGTTCTGACCCATCCCTGGCGGGACATCTGAAAAAAAGAGCTTTATAGCTCATCGGATTCCTCCAGTATAAATATAAATCTGATCATAAAGGACACTTCCACGTGGCGTTGTGTCTCCTATTGCGGTAGTGGTGGTAGTTGGTGGTGGTTGTCGTGGTATTTGGGGGAGCGGTGGTGCAGCTGTTAGCGCTACGATTCCCGCTCACGACCAACACCAACAGTGACGATCATCTGAACCGGTCCTGCGCCTCCCCTAGGTCGACTCGGCCTCAAACGAGTTACCCGGTGCGACGTGCAAACATCGCCACTGGGGAGACAAAGACGTCCGGGGCATGCTGCTGGCCACCACCACTGAACCCCCCCTCCTTCACAGGTTGCGGCTGGCTGACAGCACTTGCCCCAACAGTCCGTCACAGGCTACACGGGGGATCTTTGTCTGCAGCATCAGTAGGGAGGGGGGGCGAGGGGGGGCGAGGGAGGGGGGGCGAGGGAGGGGGGGGCGAGGGAGGGAGAGGGGGAGCCGAGGGAGGGGGGCGAGGGAGGGGGGCGAGGGAGTGGGGGGCGAGGGAGGGGGGGGGGCGAGGGAGGGGGGGCGAGGGAGTGGGGGCGAGGGAGGGGGGGGGCGAGGGAGGGGGGGCGAGGGAGGGGGTGCGAGGAGGGGGTGCGAGGAGGGGGGCGAGGGAGGGGGGGCGAGGGAGGGGGGGGCGAGGGGGGTGAGGGAGGGGGGTCGAGGGAGGGGGGGGCGAGGGAGGGAGGGGGTGAGGGAGGGGGGCGAGGGAGTGGGGGGGGGGGCGAGGGGGGGGGCGAGGGAGGGGGCGAGGGAGGGGGAGAGGGAGGGCGAGGGAGGGGGGTGAGGGAGGGGGGGGGGCTAGGCAAGGGGCCACGTCCATTGGGCAGGAGCCCTCCGTGGTGAGGGTCGTGGCTTCACCCCGCGCTGTGGACACGCGGATACGTGGCCAGTAGCGGCAACAGCAGCAGCAACAACAACAGCAGCAACAACAACAGCAGCAACATCGTCCGTTTCAAGCCGTACACCGCCAATTCAATTTCGCCAACAAGCAGCAGAGAGCAAGAGAAGCCGAGGCAAGATTCGCCCCCCCACAGCTGAAGGCGGTCGCCAAATTTCATTTTCGTTGAACTTTTCCTGTTTGCCTCGCAAGCGCCCGACGCCGACGCCGCGTCCATGGCGCGCCCTGCCGGGCAAGGCGCCTGCCGCTCGGTAGGGGCCGCTAGCCGAGGCGGGGTGTACCCCGACCGCATCGACGGAGGCCTTCGTCTTTCCGCGATCTCTTCTCTCGCCCACCGACGATGAGCACGGGGGGGGGGAGGAGGGGAAGAAAGCTACGTGGACAAGAGGAGGACGACAGCACGGGGAGCAGCAGCGTCAGTGTCAAGTTCGTCGAGGGAGTGGTGAATTCGCGAGGTTTGGCGAGCGCCGGGCGGGTGACACCGCATTGAAGAAGGGCTGGCTGTGGTGGTGGGGGGGCGACCCACGATACCTGCACGCCACGTCCAGGCTGCTCGCGTCAACGCTGTTTATTAATCGATATTGTTTGGTAATCGACTAGCGTACATAAGTGGGCGCACTTAATGCTCGCCGCCCAGAGTCTACGCAGCTGCCACGAGACGCACGAACCCGAATGCGTGACACCTCGAGACGTGTCTGTCTGGTAGCCACAGCAGCAGCTGCAATAACAATAACAACGTGATGTTACCTCGGGCTGCATTCCTAACACGAATTGATGGCATTGGCCAACTTTCGCAATACAGGATGCAACTAAAAACGTATTAAGGGCTCTCTGACGCTCCTGTGTATAGATAAGGGGGGCAGCATTGGCATTGTGGTCGTTTATTATTACGATGCTCGTGTCAGAGAGGGCAGCCTCTGCACTGTCATGGGCTCTCCGATCATTCCTGCGGCTGCCACTGCTGAGCCACGCTGTGGAGCGGCTGACATCGGGACCTTCTGAGCCCCACCACCAACAACAACAACATCAACAACAACATCACCAGGAGGAGATCGGCGGCGATGGAGTGATGATGCTGGCGCCGTCGCCCCAGGGTGACAAGGATTGCTCGGGCACCGCGCAAGAGGATGGCACGCAGGTGGTGTTGGTACTGGAGCAGGAGAAGAGAGACACCCGGAGCAGCAGCGCCCTCCTGGGCTACGTGAGGCCGTGTGCGCTCGGATGCGCCGCGTCTCTTCTCTGCCTCGGTGGCCTCCTGGCGGTGCGCGTCTACGTGATGCGAGACCTCCTCGAGTGGCTCCAAGAGGTGGACATGGCCGCTGGGACGCTGCTGTTCGTGCTGGGATTCGTCCTCGTGTCCTTCCCCTGGGGCTGGGGCTACATCGTGCTCAACGTCGCCGCCGGATACCTCTACGGGTTCCTGCTCGGCCTGGCGCTAGTCGCCGCCGGGGTGCTCATCGGCACGTTCGTGGCGCACGTCGGCTGCCGTCGGTGGCTTGAGGGATATGCCGCGGCGAGGTTGAGGTCCAGCGGCACCATGAGCGCGGTCATCAGGGTGTTGGAGGGCGGAGGTGGCCTCAGGGTCATTGCCCTGGCAAGGCTCACGCCCATCCCTTTCGGCCTGCAGAATGCGGTGTTCGCGGTAATTGTGCTCTTGTTTGTGATTTCTATGTTTTTATTTCACCGCTGGGTTACTTGGCAATGGTGGCCAACTATGAAGAGTATTCATTACTTCGTGGGTTGTGATGTAGGTGAGAGCTGGTGAGCTGCTTGAATTTTTAAATAAATTGTGTGTACCCATAGCCAAATATGCACTGAGAATTGCTAATCTCTATTGGTGTAAATTCCACATTCCGATTGTGGAGAACAGTCTAAACATAGAATAACCACTCTTCTTGGTTCTTTCGGTAAAGTTACGTAGAATGGAAATAATAAATAATAAAATTAAAACATAATAAAATAATTCTCACGACGTTTCGGCCACAACGCAAGCAGCCGTCGTCAGGTGAAGAACAGGTCTGTCGAGAAGACAGGTCTGTCGAGAAGACAGGTCTGTTCTTCACCTGAGGACGGCTGCTTGCGTTGTGGCCGAAACATCGTGAGAATGAATTTATTATGTTTTATTATTATTTTATTATTTCCATTCTACGTGGCTTTACCGAAAGAACCAAGAAGATGAATCCCTGCAGTCACGAAAGCTTTAAATCGAAAGAATAACTACTGTTGACATCCCATAAAGTGGTACCTAATTTATTGGTGCTGGAGGGGTGATGGGCTGACTTTTCCTTCCCCTGGAATTTGCCGCAACCTCACAGTGAGTTGGGTAAATTTCGATTTAAAACTTTCGTGACTGCAGGGATTCATATTATTGGTTCTTTCGGTAAGCGAGTTGGGTACTCTTAGTTTTTATTTCATGGGGGTGAAGAGATGCATATATTTTCCTGGAATCTGCAGCATGTCCCCAAGGCTTTACAGTCAATTGATGGATGAAAACAGTCGAGTTAACACATTGGCATGAGGGGCAAACTAGTGTGTCCTTCCTTTACCTTTAGGTGCCATAAATGAGTCTGTGCCACATCATATACCTTACGTTTTAAATCGTGTAACTGCGTATGCTCTTGTTGTATGTGGAAACAAGTCTTTCAATGGAAAATCCACACGTATGGGAGGATAACGCTAAAATTCCACAAAAGAAATATACTGCAGTACTGCTTCTGGGTCCATTACTGTATTTTATGTTCACCATTAATCATTACTGCTATTGTTATCGCAGACATATTGAACGTTGCTTTAGTTTATGGGCCAAGTGGAAGGCTGCAAGTCGTAAAGAAGCATATGAAAAATGAAAGCCTCTGTGCGCATGCTGCTGTGTGCATGCAGGTCAGCCGCGTGCCTACCCCCAGCTACCTAATTGCCTCGTCACTGGGACTGCTGCCCACGCAGATCCTCAACTCATACCTGGGCACCACGCTGCGGACTATGGAAGACGTCATGTCGCAGCAGACTCTCGGTGGATACGTCATATTTCTCCTTCAGGTACTGCATAACGTTGCTCCGTTAATTATGCCGCACTTGGAACTATTATGTTGGGAGATGTGTTTTGCAAAATATAGATGAAAATGGGTTATCCAATGTGTTTTTGGGGCATGCTGTGTGTGGGGCATGCTGCGTGTTTGGAATGTTGTGCGACGTTTTGCTCTACGTCCTGGGAGTGTCTTTAGAAACCGTATATATGCCAAATAGCACTTGGTACAACCCAAAAACACATCAGAGCGCTATACAGCACGTCCTCCAAAACATACGCAGTAGTGACACTGAATATTGGGGACAAATGAAACGTAAAGTCGGATATCATAAATTTCGATTTAAAGCTTTCGTGACTGCAGGGGTTCATCTTCTTGGTTCTTTCGGTAACGTCACCACGTAGAAGGGAAATAATAAAATAATAAAAATAAAACCTAATAAAATAATTCTCACGACGTTTCGGCCACAACGCAATCAGCCGTCCTCAGGTGAAGTACAGGTCTGTCGGAAATGGTGCCCATTCAGACGCTGTCTTTCCGACAGACCTGTTCTTCACCTGAGGACGGCTGCTTGCGTTGTGGCGGAAACGTCGTGAGAATTATTTAATTATGTTTTATTTTTATTATTTTATTATTTCCCTTCTACGTGACTTCACCGAAAGAACCAAGAAGATCGGATATCATACTTTAATGTGTTGGATAGGTTGACATGTCCATTGGCGAGAGTGGGTACAATTTTGAGTATGCTTTGCTTTTGATCCATCGTGGAACTGTTTTGCTAATTCTTTGCCCAATACAGCAGGAATCCAATAATCTGCGTAGATATGGGGGAACGTATAGTGGATCCGGTAATTTGCGGCACACCGTGGAGGTTAGACCAAATAGTCCGAAAAATATCTTCCTGCCCACGTGGTGTGCCACAGATTATGAGAGGATAGAGCTGCAAAATGTCATTATTGGCAAAAATATATTGTGGATTACAAGGGCAGTGCGGAATGTAATCAGTCTATTAGAATTGAATGGATGACAAGGTAATGTCTTTTTTTTAATCTTCGACCCAAATGGCGAAAATCTGCCTTATTCGTCAATGTTAAAGGATTTTTTTTTTAACTATAAAGCCAGGTAAAAAAACATTGTACAAATATTTTTCTATCAATATAAATTAATTTAACACGTAGGCTATATTATGAATATAAATTAAATCACTGTAGCTAGTCTATGCAAATGCAGAACAAACAATTGTTGCTCTTTGGGTCTTTCAGTAAAGTCACATAGATAGAAAATAATAAAATAGAAACGTAATAAAATAGAAAAATAATTATATTAATTTATAATTTTTCTATCTACATGACTTTACCGAAAGATCCAAAGAGTATGAATTCCTGTAATCACGAAAGCTTTAAGTCAAAACAATTATTGCTTCCGTATTTCCCTGCAGCTCCGCTCCTGCAGCTCCTGCCCTATCCTACGGGTAGTGTTTTGCAGTCTACAAATCGTTTTCAATCTGCTCCGGTCACGAGCAGTCGTGAATTACAAGGATTCGCGGATTATTGGATCGCAGTTTTTTTATTTCTGCTGTTTCTTCATGAAGCTAACCAAAGAAGTAATTATGGCTCTGCCCTTGCTAGCAAAGCAAACTCAACATTGGAAAAGTGATTCCGTGGCCTGGACCAATCTTTTTTCCAATTACAATTCATTTAAGCTACACCATTTTGTTGCAGCAAAATGAAAATGTACTGTGAAAACATTTACATAGTGTGTTTGGAAAAAAAAGTTAAACGATGTAGTAATAATGTGCAGCATATTGTCAATCCACTGCTGGATGAAGGCTTCCCCATGCCACGTTGCTCATGTGGGTTGTTTGACACAAATTCACCACACTGGTCAGTGTAGTTTGGTAAATAGGGTGGGGGGGTTGCCAGGGTGGGTTCAGATGTGACTCGCCACAGATGTTGGCTGTAACCATAAATCAAACTCAGGTTGCTGGCTTCAAAATGCTGCGTGATAACCACTCTGCCGTACTCCACTCCCAGTAAAATACAAGTATATACTACTATGTTTTATGGTCAATGCCACAGTTAACATAGCCAGTTGTTATAAGCAGTTTATAAGGTGGTCACAAGTCACCACCTGCTTCTAAGTATTGTCATGCTCAGCATCCGTGATCTATTAAGTAGCATGGCCTTGTTATGTCCCCTTTAATCTTGAGGCTACTTAAGTGTGTTTGACACTGGTGCCCTTGAGTCTCCAGATGCCTGGAGACATGACATATTAAATATATTCGCTCATTACTGCTATTACTACCTACACAACCACCATCAGCATTTATTTAATTTTATCCTCTTACGTGAAAAAATTGTATCTAAAATTTAGATTATGCTGGTATTGTCGTCGATGGCTAATTCTAAGAAAGCTATAAATCACAACAAATAACCAAGCTATGATGTGATACACAATACAGAACAGAAGCATAACAACAAAAATCGTGCAAATAGAGCACTGGATATTTCATGAAAATAAAACATTTATTAAAGATTACATACTTTGTACATTTAATTTATATTTGTTATACTAAATTGGCATTAAATTATATATGTTCATGTAATGATAATACTGTAAACATCGTAATAATTAGCAATCCTCTTGTCTATCCACTGCTGAATGAAGGCCTCCTCACTGTCGATTTTTGGGGGATTTTGTTTACCACACTCCACCATATTGATCAATGTGGGTTGGTGAAGGTGGTGGGGGGGGGGTGTGGACCACTCGTGTGAACTGTGGCCCAAAATGTAACTCGGGTCACTGCACACATATCACAGTGTACAAATCACTGTCTCCGCAAACCCCTCACCAGCACGAAAATATTGCCTAAATTATAAGGCTGCCTATCGTTTGAGTGCTAACCACGATACGTACACGTGCCGACCCAACAGCTGTTAATCAGCGTGGGCCTCATGCTATACGTGGTGCGGAGGGCCCGCCGGGAGCTCAACGAGGCCATCGCGGCCTGCCAGTCTGGCCAGGGTGAGGACTCGCGACCCCTCGACTGCACGTCCGGCAACGGTGGCGGCTCGTATGGTACCCAGCGGCTGGGGCTCTCCTACACCGATCAGCAGAATGTGTAGCCCGTGCAAGTGCCGCACCTCCGATGAGCACGGTTGGCTACGTACGGCGCGAAAGAAGTTGAACATGCTTACATGAATACGAAGTTGCCCACCAATTCCCGTTAAGGGACGTGAGACATGTAAAAACACAGCCAAGGCTCGGAGAAATGGCAGCGGAGCAGCTGCACCTATTGACCTGCTAACTGCGGTCTGCTTTCTGAATCGGTGGTGATGCTTTGTGTGCGTGTGTTCTGACCATCTCTTAAGGCAGGGCTATCGGCAAAAACTGTTGATAAAAAGTATTTAAGGGAGAAGTATTTAGCAAGTGCACCGATTTCAGTTTGCCGTTGTAATACATGAATATTGTAATTCCTTTGCAGACATTGCAGCCCAAGTGACTTTCTATTTTTTGTTGGGTAATTATTTGAAAAGAAAAATTATATGGCAATGCAAATGTTTACATGTAAATGTTTAAATTAAGATGTAATGTTTAGTAGTTTTGTTCAACTTCATTATTTGGGTGTGCAAAGTTCAAGTCTGTTCAAAAGAGATCTTAACCCTCTTGTGGATAACTACAGTAGTATTAATGTGATAAGTAGGACCGTTGTCTTCAGCTTCAAAAGCAAATGTTGGTTACATATCTCGACTATTATTACTTATGCCTTGTCACCTAATTTATACATGATGAATACTCTATATATTTGAGCTCCTTGATAAATGTATAAAATAGTGCACGACAAAATTTGATCAGCTATATACAGACTGGTGATCATATATATTTTTACATATTTGTTTTACCTCTAAGCTTTGTATTGAAAAAATACTTAACAGTGAAAAAAAAAAATCCATACACATTATTCTACCATCAGCAGATGAAAATAGCACTGCAAGATGCCTCTGCAGTGGGCAACGCCAGCCAGAGGTAAGAACACATGGTAAAAGTTGCTCATGTTTCGGACATGGGCCAAACACCGGCTTATCTGTCCTTTCGGCCGGCGTTTCCCACTGCAGAAGCGTCTTGCAGGTTCATTTAGTTTTCTGCACCTCGTCTTAAAGTGTTTTCTCATACCAACAGCTATTATGCTAGGATAACTGCCATAGTGTAGTGATGAGCACACTGAATTGCAATCCAGAGGCCACCGGTTGGATCTCCTGGTGTGGCTGTTTAAACAAAGTAGTTCAAACTCCCCCCACCTCTGTCCACCCAGCAGCCTAAATGGGTACACCGCAGGCTATGTGTGGTGGGGTATAGTGTGGGTGCTCCACCTCTTACTAGATGTCTGGCCAACGTGAAAGAGTAGGCCAACATACCCTAGAGTGGAAGCCCTTCTGCCAGCAGTAACTTGAGCAAGCGGCTGCAAGGGCCACACTTTTACCGCCAGTTATTAACATTACCATCGTGTAGTTGTTGAGAAATCTATTAATTCAATCTGAGCTTATGTTTGTATTGCCTTGAGAAAGGCTTAGTTCGAAGTATGCTAATTAAGCTGCATGCCTGTTAAATTAATAAAAAAAAATACCTAAAGATTCTTAGCATGTTTGACTTAATAATCGTATTAGATCCTGCATTACTTAGCGATTGGCACTTCAATACTGTGGTGTATTATACTCCAGGAGATTTACATGCAAAAAGCCATTATTGTTGATGTCATAATGAAGCCCCGATGTCGGCTCTACAGGATTTATTTGCTAGCATACGCAATCTAGTCAACGTTTCAGCCTCTTATTTACGTTTGCCCCATGTGCACAGATTGCATCGCCATTTGTACGTGAAAACTGCTTGTTAAAAAATTTGCATTTTTTTTTCTAAGCGGCACCTTCTGTACACTCGATTGCAGAATGTAAACTGTTTAAAATGTCCCCATTGTTCACCATCGCAGGAGACCATTTTGATTTTACGGCAAGACATGATGGAGCAGTTTGTCTTCGAAAGACCACATTAATGTTCCCGTGTGACTGTTCTCTAACTCACCTCTCATCCCAAGACTATTTTTTTTGTTCTCAGTTGACTGTCAGAATGTGTACCGAATGCGTGCAGCTTGTGGCCTTAACTTTAAGTTTGGCTTCGCGCAAGAGCGTGTGTATTAATTGTAGAGTATGTAAGGAGTATATGAGTGGAAAGTACCTTTTCAAATCCAGATTATCAGGGCATAAAATAATCTAACTTATTTCTACACATTCTCTAAAGTTGGGTGATAATGATTCAGAATGGTACCTACAAAATGACCAATTACTACATAAGAAATGGTCATATGATAGTGCACATCTGAGCCAAATTGTCTACCTTTAGTGCCCAACATTCCAGGAAATAAGTTATTTTAGATGACGGATTGTTTTTTTTAGATTCTTTGAAAAATATCACTTTCTTACACATTATACCTGTTAATTTATGTATTCCATAAAACTGTAGTTGAAAAAGTACTTAGAAAATATTTGAAATCCATATTCTCACCATTAGCAATGAAGATTTGTAACTGTAAATTATACTTTACGATCAGGCTTTCCCAACCAATTTTAAGATTCATAAATGATTTCTGGGTATATTGCTCAATTTTCACAACCAAATTTATCCATAAGAGTCAGTTGTGAGAATTGTTCTTCAACTTACCGGTGATATATTACAATAAGTGGCATGTGTAACGCTTGTACACGTGACAATCTAATATATTTTGGCTGTGTTGGGTGGTGGAGGGTCTTATCCACACAAATGTAGCCAGATCATAACATGGCCTCACCCAAAAAAGTTATGCTTTTTAAATTATGCTGTGTATAGAACAATGTTATCATAACAGCAGCTGCCTTGAGTAAAAGGTATGAGAATCTGTAAAAAAATTGTCTTGCAGTGAAATTTGGCACACCTTACTGGATGGTAATAAAAATTGGTTTAGACATATGGAGCCTTGTTTTTATGAGATGTTTTATGACAAGAAGATGACATTTATCTGCATTCTCAGCTGGCTCTATCGAAATTATTTGATTGTTTTTGCAGGACAAATATATTCCTAAAATGCCACAGAAATTTCCCCTCCTGACTTCTTCAAATTGTCATTGTAACGAAATAAATCCTAAAACATTTAAAACGATTAAGTAACATATAGCAGGTTTGACAAGTTATACAATGGCATTCTTTTCGGGCCTTGTTTTTATTTCCCAAAGCTTGTTTAAATATAAATGTACTGTACCCGGTATAGATACAGTCGACTTGCATACGCACACAGGTTTGCACCACCGAGATTAAATGTTGAAGGTCATGGAAAGTGGTGAGGATTAAAGATTTGGATTTTTTTATTTCGTTTGACATTTGCACAGGAAGGAAGGTGTGCTTCACCTACACTCATACAAAACCAAAACTTGTTTTTTTCTTTCGTTTATTAAAGCTATACTTGAGACGATATACTTTTGATGAATAAATAATAATTCTGTAGTCCTTTATCTATTTAGTAGTACGGTGTATGTAACGGTCTGTGTAAATATGAAACCTACAGGCTGCTGCATTTAACATTTCAAGGGTGGACTACGTGTTTTGTGTAACGATCGTCAATAGAATTGATTCTTTTTGGCGGGGAGGGAAGGAAACTTGCAAATATTGTGGGGGGGGGAAAGACTACATATTTTATTTATTTTGTCTTTATGGATTTTAATGTTTGTTTTTCTTTGAGATGTAGTATATTAAGTTGTTTATCGCAAATTGAGGGTGTTACAGTATACTGTATGGTTGGTTTCTCATTTATGTAATGCAAACCTCCTTTTGAAAAGGTGTCATTGCTTGCGGTGTCAACGGCGAAATGGAACGGTGACGTTTGAAAACCAAATTACAGAGCAAACCACATGAAATACTTTGTTTTCCCCATACACACTCCAGGTTCTGCAAGTGTCCGTGTGTTATAAAATACTTGGTGCGTTCTCATGGTGTTATGATGCAATTGGTTTGTCAATGTCAACTAATGATGCTTGCATTGAATCGCACCTGTGACAATTCTTATTCGAATATTCCGTGCTGTATGCAATGGCTTTTCATGACTGCTATGGGCCACTCAATGTGAAAAATAGCATTGATTATTGAATTGAATCGCTACCTTCACGTGCAGCGACGAATTGAATTGTCATGAGGGCGAATGGTTACTCTGGTGTATATACCCTATAAATAGTGCTCAGAAAATACTTTAGTGGTCGTTTTACAGTACATCCCTGAGGGCAGGCACTAAAAGTTCACTTTTTTTTAAAGCCACTAATTTCCATTGGCCCTCCGTAATGTGTTGGTAAAAGTGGCAGATCTATAGTTATCAATACCATTACCTGTACACCTTCTGAACAAGATTTTTTTCATAGCTCATAAGTTAATGCTATGCACATCTTGAAACATGCAAAAGAGTGTTTGCTCACGTGGCATACTATTATTGTGTTTTTAACTGTGTGCCACACAGATGCTGCCCCTTGGTATGTGCACGTTCACCAAGTGGTGTACGTGCGCCCTCACTGAGGGTGCCACAAACCCCTTGGAATTGTATTCAGTTCACTGCTCACCACACCACTGTATCGGTTTCCCGCGCTCTATGCGGATTCAGTTCGTGAGATTTCGTGCACATGCGGCAGACCAATTTCTACCCAAAACTCGCTCTGTGTGATTTGAATTCGCTCGTATGTGGCGAAGCGGTCGGACGCGGGACAACATTGTGTGTCGCGTGTTCGCCGCTCAGCAGCCGGCTGTCTTGTGTGGTTTTGGTATGTGCACGATGTTTTTTGCAACATCTACCGCGCAAAGCGTGGGAAAGCTATATAAGAAGGTGTGTGAATGGTTCAAACATGGTTGGTTTTTGTGTTTAGTTGTCCATTCCCCGCACCTCCGAATATCACCGTAGGCTACGTACGATGCTTAAGAAGTTCCAAATACATATGTTATGACGACTTGACACTTCTCTTGAGATGGCACTTTATTGAAGACACGTTCACTTGACATCAGGCGAAGACCCCCACTGCAACTGCCTTGAGTCTCCCACGCATCTCCCCCTTACATACCAACCGAGGCCACACCCCCCTTCTCGATCATTCTCGCTGACTCTGGACGCTCGCTCCACCAGCAGACTCCACCGTCCTCTTCCATCACCTAACCACGCTCCCTTCTCGATCATTCCCGTAGCCACCAGTCCCTTCGCACTCACAACTGAAACCCCTGTCATTACCTCCCGTGGCCACTAGTGCAATCGCACTGTTGGCTGACTCCCCTGTCATTACCTCCCGTGGCCACTAGTCCACTCAAGCCGCATGTAGGTGCGACTGTCTTGACACATATATACATACGAACAATAAACGTGAAGATGCTGTCTTATTCCGACTCACCTTATGCGATTGTCCCCTGTGCATCAAGCGAAACTGGTGTTTCATGACCGTTGAGCAGGTTATTTAGTGGTTTAATCTGGCAAATCAAATGCGAGATGTGGTATCTGATTGCATTGTCCCAAATGTTAACATACTCACCGGCTGGTATTGGTACGTTTCTGTAATTTTGACAGCAAACTCCGTTCTGTTGAACTTAACGCGTGCCCCGACCTTTGTCACAGCAACATGTATGTGCATGTACGGTGCAATGTTAGCCTTGCAGGCCACGAGAGATATGTGTTTGTACTTCATCATGCTGGTCAGTGTAGCTTGGCAAAGTTGCGGGGGTGCAGAACAATGAGTTTTGCTACAATGTCCTCTAATGCCAACGGCCTATTACGTCTTTATTTTTGATGACAACCCCTCCAAGCATTTACTTAGCTTTGAAGATATGATGAATTCTGGATGCATTCCATGTGATTTGGTCATAGGCTGCTTTGTGTATCATTTATGTAATGCAACCGTATGTTATTGGAAATGTATCGCCTGCCGTTGGTTGTACATCTACACGGTGGTTCAGATGTGTTGTGACCCCCGTTTAATTATCGAAAACGTAATATTGTTTAAGTAAGGTTTATTTAAAACAAATGAATATGCAAAGGAAACAATGTTCGAGGTCAATCAATATGGGTCACAAGACATCTGGACTACCCTGTATTAACCCTTTTGGCAATCCACTGGCAGATGAAGGCCTCCTCACACTGTGCAGGTTGTATGGGTTACTTGACCTAGCTTCACCATGCTTCTCTTGTGGGTTGGTGAAGGCGGTTAGTATCGGTGTGGGAGCAATTTAAGTACAGTACAGTATAACAATAACTATTGTTTAATTGCTTTCTATTTACCAAAACGTAGCCCCGTAGCCTATGACATCTGTTATGATGCATGGGAATCACTTCTCCAAGCACTAACCCCGATTAATCCTGCTTTGCTTCAGAGTTGGGGCACATTCAAGGTGATTTGGTTACAGGCCAGTGCTGAACACTACAGCTTAGACTCACAGATCCTGTTATTTATCACTGGGCATCGTTGTGGTGGATAAAGGTTAAACTATTTGCAAGTAGTGGAGGTTTGATAAGGGCCTGGTATTTGTTAACGCTAGAGATTGAGCTCTCTTTGCCGTTGACTTGGAAGACAGAAAAGTCACACTTTCAATTTTACAAATATGTGCTTGCCAAATGTGAACTCGTCAATATTCGAAGGCTCTTACTCTGTTAATGTACAAAATGTTAAGTGTGCACCAGGCACATTTATGTTGCATTGCCTGCTATTTATATTTTAAACATTCTGCTTTTTATAAAAAAAAAAGTCTGAATGTCTATTCCAAGTAATGTGCATTTTTCTAAAGGTTTTCACCTAAATGTCACTTTTGACTATAATGAAACTCTCTGTGGGACGTTATTTGCTTTAAATGTACTCTTCAAATATTTGAGAATACAGAATGGTACTCTTGTTTGATTTCTTTAAAGACCCATAAGCTATCACAATGACAGAAATCTTGCGGAAGTGCTGTTTTCTGAAACATGATTTAGGAGAAAAGTTGATGTTTTGTTCACATTAATGTTTTGAGTTCATTGATAGTTATGTCAATGTTTTGGATCTGAATTCATTTAAATACGGGACCTTCTATTTTGTCATGGTTTGTACTGTGACAAACTTTCATCACACTAGCAAACCTTGTATCGTGAGTCTTATTAAAATGCTCTTCTAATGTGCCTTCTCAGAGCTCCATATATTATGAAAACTCGCATCTCTATTCTTTGATATTGTGATCCCTTTTATAATACAGTCATACAAACAAGTAAACTGTTGTGTCTACGTCAGTAAAGTATTCATTAACTGTTTAAAAACGTCATTCACTTGTGTTCGGACATTGACTTGATTATCCTTGTAAATGAGTGCCAAATTACAATGTTTTTTTGTTTTGCCTTGTCTGAAATAAATTTTCCACTGGAAAAAAATGTTGTGAACGAAGGTTTAAAATAAATGGAGTATTACAAAATATCTGAGTTTGTCTGCAAATATAGTATTTTTTGTGTTATTTATCTGAAACGTGTATGATTAATGGAAAGTAGTGGATTTCAAGTTCAGGTTTATTTTTTTAGCTGGGTGAGTATTGAAGATACCAGGATATTTCTAGATTTGAAGCTTTCGTGACTGCAAGGATTCATATTCTTAGGTTTTTTTCGGTAAAGTCACGTAGGTAAAAAAATTTAATGAATAAAAGTTAAATAAAATAAAATAACGACGTTTCGTAGGCAACACACGGAAGCTTGTGTTGCCTCCGAAACGTGATTTTTATTCTATTTTACTTTTATAAATTTTTAACCTACGTGACTTTACCGAAAAAAACCTAAGAATATACCAGGATATTCTCATTTGCAAAAGTGACCTGTAATATTCAATCTGCCAGTAGGGTGTAATTATTGCTATGTATAATCAGACATGTTCAATAGTTTGAACATGTCTGATGATAATGAATTCATAAAAAAATTCAGCAAATACAGAATGTGTAAAAAAAAACACCTTAAAAATCTATTAACGGCACGTACCATGTGACGGAAAGCTGCTCTGAAACGGCGTTAAAAAATATCTAGATGGGTTGGAGTTTGCTCAGTGATGGCCAGCAGATGTTTTAAGCTGAATTTGCAACAAAATCTCATTTTGTTCAGTGGCTTTTTAAAGACTCATGAAAACACTTAATGATTGATGCATGTGCAGGCTTGTATGCTGATTTTATGCTGAATCGCATGCTAAGTTATTAATGCCACCGTAATGGCACTCATTTGAAAGTAGCCCATGTGGCATATTCTGTGTTATTCTTCTCGTATGTCAATACAGTGCGCCGTGTGATGCCCGAATAATTGGGTTTTGTGCATCCTTAGAAATGTTATCCAACGGCTTTTTGAGGGTTGAATCATCACAATGGTTCCTTGTGAAAGGATCACCATTTATTTTGCTAATAAGTTGACGGCACAATGGCACCATCATGGATACTTGCAACAAATGTTATTTGAAATACAGCATTATATTTATTGTAAAACTGCCAGTTCATTTGCATATATGAGGCTATTCTGAGACTATGTACTTGAAAATGGGAAAATAGGTTGCCTTGATATGGGGACGCTACAATACATCGAAAGATATAAGGTGTGCGATAATCGTAACTTCTGTTTTGCTCATTATTATATGATTGTAGATTTTACTTTTTAAGTATTTATTTTTCACAAAATGTTTACGAAATCATTCAAGTAAAAAGGTAGACACCACCCATTAAAAGTGATTTGTAAAACTTTACCATGCAGAACGCGGCATTATATTACGTCAGATTTTCTGACAGCATGTGCGTTATGAGCGCTATTACATCGTAAAGTTACAATGAACATAAAGGGCAGGATTGAGTCAACTGCAGTTGAAGAACGCCGCTTAAGAAATATATTCGTATTGCAAGCATCTACATCACAACACAGTGATATACAGTAATTGTGAAATGCAAAGTGAAGGGAACAATATTACACGACAATGATCATGTCATCTTCTTGGTTCTTTCGGTAAAGTCACGTAGAAGGGAAGTAATAAAATAATAAAAACAAGCATAATATTATTTTATTATATTATTTTATTATGTTTTGTTTTTATTATTTTATTACTTTCCTTATATTATTTTATTATGTTTTATTTTTAGTATTTTATTACTTTCCTTCTACGTGACTTTACCGAAAGAACCAAGAAGATGAATCCCTGCAGCCACGAAAGCTTTAAATCGAAATTTAATGATCATATCGTGACTTTTAATATCGTATCGTGAATAACATCGGGGCATCCGTATAAAATACGAGGTTGACGAACATGTATGTATTTGAAGTGATTACCTCCTAATATACGGCTAGCAGTAAGCAGTGCCACCATGCGGTAGCAGTGTGTGCTGTAGAAGTAATTCCTGTCGCAAATTCGAATTTCCTGGCTAGAACCTATTTTATTTTGAAGATGGACCTCATTGGTAACGTGCCATGTAACTTAATTCAACCTAAGGATAATATGCGATTGCTACTAATTAAATTGCAAGCCTTTATATGGGAAAGCTTCACTTAAAAACAAGTATAACCCGTACAAACTAAGTTTTTCACTATATGCGTGGCGGCTAGAGTCCTCTCGTCCTCTGGCTTGAGATGGCTGCCACCTATGGGTCAGATAATTGCATGGCACCATTAAGCAATTGGTAATTAAATATAATATTTTTGTCCTAAAAAGTGTTAAATTTAGGAAAAATGTTTTCACGAACATTAATTGTCACGCACAACGAGTCTGTGTGGAAAATGTCAGCTCGATTGGATCACGGGAAGTGGGTTAAAAAACGACCGAAAGATTTGCACGGTCGTAAGCAAACAAGCGCCCGAGTGAACTTAATATATAGGATTTAAAAACATCGGGAGCAGCCTGCACTCGGATGTATATGGCCAGTTCCATTTGCGATTGACATGTGGACAGGGGCCGTCCATAAATGACGTCACGCACCTAGGTGGGTAGGGGGGGTCAGACATTTGTGACGATGTGTGACGAGGGGTGGGGGGGTGTGAGAAATGTGACGTCACGTAAATATAGATTTCGATTTAAAGCTTTCGTGACTGCAGGGATTCATATTATTGGTTCTTTCGGTAAAGTCACGTAGAAGGGAAATAATAAAAAACATAATAATTCTCACGACGTTTCCACCTGAGGACGGCTGCTTGCGTTGTGGCCGAAACGTCGTGAGAATTATTTTATTATGTTTTATTTTTATTATTTCTCACCCCCCCCCCCCCCTCGTCACAAAAGTCTGACCCCCCCCCCCCCAGGTGCGTGACGTCATTTATGTACGGCCCCTAACCCTCAAGCCTAACCATCAAGGTCCAAAACAGTTTTTTTTACTCCCGAGATTCGGCGCATTCTGGGAGTTTTGGTAAGAGGCAAAAGCGCTCGATATGACAGTACATGTAATCCGTAAACTGTGCCCCTGTATTTCACACGCCTTTGCACATCTGCATGTGACACACGAATGTTGAACTTCTTTCGCACCGTACGTAGTCAACCGTGCTAAACAGTATCCGTAAGAAAATAACAATTACTGGGACTGTCGTTGTTTTGCTGCATTTCCCAATACTGTATTGATAAATCATATTTAAATACGTAATTAATGTATTCTAGATTTGCAGCTTTCGTGACTGCAAGGATGCATACTTTTTGTTTTTTTCGGTAAAGTCACGTAGGTAAAACAATTAAATAAATGAAAACATTTATTTGAAAAAAATCATTTTATTGTTTTTTTATATTCAGTGACTTGCTGACCATCTTCTCCATTTTGCACTCCTCCCAGTTTTCTTTGTATTGTTTGCCGTTGTAACTTGGACAACTGCAAATTAAAAAAAGCTTCATAGCTCATCGGATTACTCCTCCAGAGCAGTATAAACAAATGACGCTCGAAATTTCGATTTAAAGCTTTCGTGACTGCAGGGATTCATCTTCTTGGTTCTTTCGGTAAAGTCACGTAGAATGGAAATAATAAAATGATAAAAATAAAACATAATAAAGTTATTTTATTATTTCCATTCTACGTGACTTTACCGAAAGAACCAAAATTAAAAAAATAATTTATTATGTTTTATTTTTATTATTTCCATTCTACGTGACTTTACCGAAAGAACCAAGAAAATAGACGCTCGCTCCGGGGACCGGCAGAATAACGAATAGAATGAATGAGCACGTGGACCCAATGCGCTTGAGGGTGACGTCACATCCGGAAACAAGCCCCCCCCCACCCCGTTTAGTGACGTCACGTCCCGCTCGCGACCACTCGACGGAGCTGTTGTTTGGAGGCGGACGTGCGTTGAGGGGCAGGTAAATTTCCGTCTTCGGGTGTGTTTAAAAAACTAAAAAAAGTAATCAAATCTCTCTCAGTCGATTTAAAAGCACGTTCGGTGTGGGCGTGGGGGGGGTGGGAGGCTTCTGTGAAATCGACGAGAGGTGTTTCGGCAAGAGCCGGAGCGCTCGCTACGCGTTGATGCCTTGACGAATATCGTCGCGTTTTTACATTCCCCACAGCGCTTAAGCGCTCGGCGCCGCATGGAAGCCTCCCGATTGGCTGATCACCCCCCCCCTACCCCCGCACGTTCGCGCGCCTCGACCAATCAGAGCGGCGGATTCGGCCCCCGCCGGTGTTGCTGTTTATCCAGTCTACGATTTGCGATGTCCGCGTATTGTACTCTGTAAGAGAGTGGGGGGGGGAGTGTGTTTTTGGCCTACTCTTCCACGCTCACCGGGCTACATTCTCACGATTAAAAAATTAACCCGTAAAAACAAAGTTTTTCACTATAAATCCTTTATATGCGTGGCGGCTAGAGTCCTCTCGTCCTCTGGCTTGAGATGGCTGCCACCTATGGGTCAGATGATTGCCTGCCACCATTAAGCAATTGGTAATTAAATATAAAAAAAAATTCCTAAAAAGTGTAAAGTTATGAAAAAAAAATTTTTCACGAAAATAAATTGTCACGCACAACGAGTCTGTGTGCAAAATGTCAGCTCGATTGGATCACAAAAAGTGGGTTAAAAACGACCGAAAGATTTGCACGGTCGTAAGCGCGCAAGCAAGTGAACTTAATATAAAGGATTTAAAAAGACGCACCGAAAAAAACTGATCGGTGTCAATACACTTGTGAATCTGGTCACGCACGCACAACGAACAGGTTATAAGACGCGCCTCCAACTTTTCCGTTTAATTACATGGAGAAGGGGGGGGTATCATAATTATACGGTACTCTGAAATACTTTAAAACAAATTAATATACACAGTGCGTGTGGAGCGGTGGCGCAGAGGGTAGCGCACTGCGATACGGGTAACTCAAGTGGTGAGTGGGAACTCATTCCTGGACGGGTCCTCTAACCCCCTCTCCAACCCCTCACTATGGTGAAGTAATCATCATCATCATCAAGGTGTTTAAATGCGTCTTAACCCTCCACCACCCGACACAGCCAGTAAGGTTTGTCACGTAAACAACGCGCCAATTAGTTGATATTGCAGCTTCGCGCGTGTGGTGGAGAGTAAATCCACAACATTTACAATTTATGTTTCAAACAAATCCTCGTCACCGCGGGTCGCCAACCATAATAATAACAAGAAGAGGAATGTTTTTTTCGAAGTCGGTAAAAAAAACTCATTATTTCAAGAGTCGCAATGTACGTGGGTCCGAGACGGTGGTTCTTTTTTAAATGTATAAACTATTATTTTAATTCCACATACTCCCTCGCATCATACAATGTGCATTGTTATATGTTGCATTGTAACTAGCATTTAACATAGACAATGTAGGGATGAAAGTACCTCTTCTTTAGTGTTCCTCCGAAGTGTAGGTTCTTGGCTTGTATGCCCTCCATCCAAGCCCAGTATTGAGATTTCCTCTTCATTATTTCACAATGAAGCTCGCTTATGTTCAGGTCATTGAGCATTGACTTCCTTTTATCTACATCTTGGCCCTTGTCCAGCATCCTCGAACTTTACTCAAGCCTACTCTGCTGACAAATATGCTCCAATGCCACTTCTGGATTTGCACCCACGCGGATACTCTCTAGCACGGTTGTGAGCGCTTCCTCATTACAATATTCTCTTCATGTGAAACATTTTCTCTATTCGATGCCACATCCACATGTAAACACATTTTAGTCTTAGTTTATCTTTTCTCAGTGTTCGTTAATTCCCACCGGTCATCCACCAAATGTCACCCTCCCATAGCAATCCTAGCTCTGCTCGCGTTTGAGGATCATTCATCGTCGTCTGGACACCTAAACAATCTCACCTGTGCGGGAAAACCCCAATTTTACGAATCATGATGTTGAGATTTCACAGGAAAATGAGAGTCGTCGTGTGTTTAAACTTTGGCGTGGAGAAAGACTGGCCGACCGACACACGAGGCCATGAACAGCGTTTGTTGCATTTACCCGATTCTTTGGGTCTTGCGGTAAAGTCACGTAGATAGGTTTTTTACCATGTTGCATTTGTGGTTGTTACATACAGTTTCCATTAAACAATTAAAGAACGAGTCTGTGAGGTGCCGTGTAGAATAAACTAGACAGCACCAGTTTGGTCGGATGTCCATCCAAGTTTGATATTTTGACTGCTTCCACTTTTAACTGGAAATTTCCATGACTTTTGTTTTCTGCTCTTTTATTCTGAGGCCATCATTCTCGGCCATCTTGTTGAAACCCTCTACCAACCCCTGTAATACTCAGTTTCGATTAATTAGATGTATTGCTGATTCATAAATACCCCAGGTTGTTTCTCTCATTGTTATTAGTTATTGTTATGATTGTTTCAGGATGGTTCTGCCACGTTTTCACAGGAGGGGCGATGTTGCAATGTGTAATCCCAATTCAGAAATTTGCAGTTAATTTCCCCACAATTCCCACACTTCTGCACTATCCCAACTCCACTGGTTCCCTGCCTGCTATCGCTGTTTTTTTAAATTTCTCACTCTACAAATCCTTCCACCGTCTTACCGCACCATATCTTGCTTCACTGATATATCATACGATGTCCCACCCCATCCTCTACACTCCCAATCGACACACTCCATCTCTGTGCCTCCCTCGCCCTGCGCCCAGTCTCGCTTTCATTCCTTTTCCCTTCTCGCTCCCCTTGACTGGAACCAACTCCCAACGCACTTAAAACAATCGTCTTCATCGGCCTGCTTCCATTCCTCCATTAAAACAACCCCCATCTCTTCTCCCTTGCCCATCCTACTGCTACCCCCTGCCCTGGCCCCCCAGCTATGACCAAGCCTACCCCAACCCCTGTCACTACCCCAACCCCTCCTTAACCATTCCCACCTGTCCTTACTTTCACCATAGCTACACCACCACTTTTAATAACCCCACTCTTTATTTTAACCTCTATCATGTCATGTACAACTTTATAATTATAGTAAAGCACCTTGGATTAAGTAGCTATATAAATCTATATAAGATAATACCCAAACCAGTCACATTGTATGCTTTTTTTAGCAATCAATACTATGTGCACTGTAGCGCAATAAGTACCTTTTGACTTAGCCTTCTGAGAGTAAACATCATCATCTTTAACCTACCTATTCTCAAGTGTAGAAAAGGGTAATTTTATACTACAGTGTGTATTGGGAATGCATTCCATATACATTTTTACGACTTGCTTATTTTTTCATGTGGCAGAGTTTGCATACATGTCCCATGATGTAATGTATTCCGTTCACAACTAGTTACATTTATGAGAAATGTAGATTGCCACACGGGTTTTGAAACTGTTTGTTTAAGCACATTTACAGTGTGTACACAGGTGTGTCATATGCACTCTCTGACTTTATTTTCATGAACAGACTGACATCACAAACTCTGCATTTCTGTGCTGCTGCAGATCCAGAAATGTCACTGGAGCAGCCCCTGGATCTGTCGGGCATTTCCCAAGAAAGTGAAGACAGCTCAAATTCGGAAGAGGCCAGCAGCTCTCCCACGCAACCCTGCGAGAGGGCTGCCCCCCTCATGCCGGTGCAGCCTTCCGAGGTGGGCGGCAGTGTCGTGACCACAGAGCAAGAGCGAGTAAATCAAGTTGTCACTGACAATGGGGGGTGCGCGGGGCGGGCAGCTGCTGATGAAGGAAGCACCCCCGCGATGAAGGAGGAGTGGCAGGGCACCTTCACGGACAACGGGATGCAAGGGTGCACCGCCACTACTCGCCAGAGGGAGTGTGGTGGTGTCCCTGAAGAGGAGGGAGAACAAAGGAGTGACTTTTCCCCTCTTGAAATGAGAGAAGGCACATGGACACCGTGTACAGAAGATGAGAGGAGCAGCAGTGATACAGCGGCAGAGCGGACAAGTGGAAGCTTTTCGTCAGGGCATGGAAGTCAGGAGGTTTCTCTTAGCAGCAGCCAGACGCAAGATGAGGATGGCGCACAAGAGGAGGGACAAGGAGTGGACGGTGCTGGTGAGAGTAATGTACTTCATGGCACTGGGGACAATGCTTCGCCCAAGCCAGGAGAGAGTGGTGGCCCCAATTGCACAGAGCTGCAGCGCATTTTGACAAACGGTGCTAGTGACGAAGCTGGAGGCACCGTGGAGCAGGCGGGGAACAGCACAGCAGACTTGAAGAGCAACGCCCCCTTGGACTTCTCTGTGAGTAACAGCCATTGCGGTGGCGAAGTGGCTTCGGCAAAGGCAGAAAAGGAACAAGAAAGCACAGAAGCTATTGATACACAAACGGACGGTGTTCCATTGGAACAATTCGGCCTAGCAGAGAAACAGATTGATTCTGCAATGAAAGCTGAAGAGGCAACAGTGGATGGTGCAGAGTTGACTGCACCACTTTCCGTGACAGTTGTGCAGGCAAGTGAAGCTAAGCCTGGTGGGAGCATGCTGAAAAGTAGATTTGCTGGACGGTTCCACGTGGCGTTCACATGCAGTGCCTGCGAAGCAGGGTTCAGCTCGGTGGTGGAACTGACAGCACACGTTTCTTGTCATGCTGGCCTCTGGCCTGTTAAGTGTGAATTCTGCGTTCGTCTCTTCCGCTCTCCGCAAAACCTCTCAAGCCACCGGGCATCGGCGCACGGTGTGCCCTGTACGCCCCGTGGAAACACGAGTTCCCTCTGTTGCCCTCTCTGCCCCAAGAAATTTGCCTTTCCCACGAGCCTGAAGCGTCATCAGGAAGAGATGCACCCAAAATTGGGCGCTCATGAATCGGATGGTGAGAATGTGTCAGAAGGACAAGAGCTTTCGGCTAATGGTGCCGGAGGTGGACGTGAAGTTGACGAATATGAGGAGCTCAGCTGGCTGAGACCACAAAATTTCACGGACCCAGCAAAGGCAAAGATGTGGTTCTCCTCGACGCAGATCCTCGCAATGAGTCAGGTGGAGAAAAACGAGGATGACAAGCGGAAAAGTACACGGCTCTCGTTGGCTTTCAAAGAGAGAAAAAGCAGTTTGGAGAATAACCTCACGGCGACATTGAAGTTGCTGGCAGAAGGCGAGCATCTGCTGAGCCCCGATGTTCATTTAGCGAAGATGGACGGGAGCAGCGCTCGCTACCCGACATTCCGTCCGCCTCCCTTCCGCTATAACCGTTCCGCAGAAGGCGGGAAGGTGGGGGGAGTAAGCAGCGGCGCAGCATCCACGGCGAGCCCAGCGGGTGTCACGGTGGGAACAACTGCGGTGCCAGGCATGGCCACAGCAACTCCGGGTGTACGGGTGGCACGCATCCCACACTCCTTCTCGAGCCCAATCACATGCACCAAGTGCGGCACCGGCTTTTTGGAGCTGGCCTTGCTGCGTTCGCACGTGCGGGCATGTGTCAACGTGCGCGTCCGCCGCCGGTACACCCCACGCAAGCAGTCGGCGGCAAGTGACAGCGCAAGCTCCGTGGATGACCAAGGTAGCCCTCAAAGGGGGTACAGTAAGAGTAGCGGCAGCAAGGCGAGTGGCAGCGGCGGTTTTATGCCAAAGCAAAAGGTGAAATTAAGTGCCCAGGACAGGGCCTCTGAGAAAGTGAAGAGGAGACCTCCCGGCTCAGCCAAAGTGGATGTGGCAAGTCCCTCCCAGAAACTGCCCTGTTGCCCATACTGTAAGCGAGCCTTCACCTACCTGGGCAGCCTGAGCAAGCACGTGGCCTTCGGATGCATCAAGAAGGGGGAAAAGGTGCGTGTAAGCAAAAGCAGCAGCAACACCAATCGCTTAAGCAGTAAAAAATCTAATAAAAACGCTAACGGTGATAAAAATAAGAGCAGTAAACATCTGCGACAGCACCTGACCTCGACAACACGGCCAAATGCGAACATTTTTCAAAAGGCTTTGCCGGCAACGCAGCAAGGAAAATTGCAGGCTTCAACGCCGGGCAGCGACCGGTCCTCGGCGGAAGGAGCCTCTCTGCGGGTGGACAAATGGGCGGCCACCACCCCCACCACTGATGAAGATGAGGACGCAGACGAGGTGCGCTTGCTCAAGAAGCGTGGCCGCCCGCCTAAGTTACGGGCGGACGGCGCATCCTCGAGCTCCCACAGCTCCCCGCGGAATCAGTCTCCATCACGCACGGCCGCCACCGGCGCCCCCTGGATCCCACCACACTCAAAGGCGCAAGACCGCGGCTTCAAGCGCAAACAGTCGGCGGGAGAAAGGGAAGAGAGCGCCCATCGGGGAGAAAGAGGGCCACCGTGGCCAGAGCGGGTGTTCGTGAAGAGAAAGTACTCTTCCCCGGCTGCAAATGTAGACAAAGACGTCAAGAGGAAACACAACTCGGGAGAATCTATTAAGGTGTCCGATTCAAGAGAATCCGCATTTTAACTGGTTTAATAATTTTACTTTGACTAATGTGATATAAGGTGGTTAACATCCGTAATTACTTAACATCTGTATTAGGTTTTTAGGTTGTTAAGTGCACTAGTTATGCATTGTGGCTTGTGAATAAGATATCAAGTTAGGTCGACTGTGTAATGGGCTTAAAGCCTTTAGCTAAATCTAAAAGACTAGCCTTTTGCCCGTCCAAGGACGGGTGTATTGCAGTGAATCTGAAACTTTCAAGCGAAAAGCAGACCGCGACGTGGTATTAATTGCATCAATGCGCGTGCCATTCGTAAGGGCGCGGTGACAGACCTATTTCATGTAAAGGTTATAATCCCTTGTTCACCATGACATCCTTTTTAGTTCTATTTCTCAACAGCGTTACGGAGATCGCGTGACGTGTAGTGAGGGTTGTAAGTTGACGCCGAGGAGGGGGGAGGAGGCGCCTCGGCTCCCCCATGTGGAGTGACGTCACCCCCTAATTATTATGAATGGGGGAGGGGTCCATTTGGAGGACGTCACCTGCTCATGAATATTAATGAGGTGGGCTGGTCGATGTGTAGTGACGTCACTAGCGTTATGGACATTCCTGGGTGATAATAGTCGGTATATGGGGAAAAGTTTCTTCAGGTTCTCTTAAAGCAAGAGAGACTTTTATTTTACACTTGTTGCCACTGTCAAAGTTGTCACTTCTGCTACGAGTGAACATGATCATCTTGATTTGAAGCTTTCGTGACTGCAGGAATCCATACTCTTTGATTCTTTCGGTAAAGTCACGTAGATACTATCTACTATCTACGTGACTTTACCGAAAGAACCAAAGAGCATGATCATGATGAGTTAACTTTTTAAAAGCATTAATGGGAAAAGCCTGCTTACAGATAATTTCTATTTTCTTAAATTAGTTTTTTTTTAAACACGTTAATTTCCTTGACCGCATTTCCAAACTGTGCGTTTAAGGCACTCCAGCTCTCACCAGACAACAACAAAAATTAGAAGAGTGCTTTGTTATTTTAGGGACGTAGCCACTAATTTGTGTCGTGTGCACTTAAAATGGGTACAAATAAGTGTGTGAAATGAATTTAGACTATTCCGAAAACATTTATTTTGCCAATTGATTTTTAGTAATTGGTCAGGTTTTGTTTTTTGTTTTGTTTTCTTGGTTGATATGACGAGTTATCATTGCATCATGCAAAAGTATGAACGAAAGTAATACTCCATAATCGAGTTTGTTTTGGGTGAGATCGCGTAAAAATAAATGTGTCGTTAAACCCACCACCACCCGACACAGCCAATTAGTAAGGGTTGTCACGTAAACAAAACATGCCAATGAATTACTAGTACAGCACACCGCTGTGTTGGAGAGTAAACCCACAATATTTACAATTCGAGTACGACGTTTCGCCAGTAATTACAACTCGCATCATTATCATCATCATCAGGCGACAGATATATTTGTGGATCAATTCTGTTTCGGTCTTAAACGACACATTTATATTCACACGACATAACCCAAAAAAACCTCTTGTGAATAATATTGGTTGCGAAAACCTACATATGAAATAGTCATATGGAGAAAGTTATCGTTTTTTTTAATTCATAGGCATCTGATGGTATACATTCGTGTCAGTTATTGTCTTCACAGTATAGGACTAAGAGTGGTGCATATAGCCACATGTGGATAGGCAAAAACAAGGATATGCTTTCAAAATCGCTGCAACAAGTATACTATAACTGGTCAAAGAATGCCAATTTTTCTTCAGCCTATAAAATCATTTGGAAAAAACTCATCAAGTGTTGCTGTGGAGTATCTGGGTTCTTAAACAAAACAACCTCCATTACGTTGCTTATGAACAAAATTGAGTTTGAGATGCTTTTATTACTAATACTCTCCAGATTTTGAGATGCTCCGGAAAGTAAGACGCACCCCGAGGCATGTGTCCTGGTGTCAACGTTCTACAAATCTGGTCACGAACGCAAAGGCACACACACCTACAGTCATTCCTCGCTTAACGTCGGGTTTACGTTCCTGGACAATGCGACTTTTAAGTGAAATAGCGTAAAGCGAAACCTATTTTCACGTAAGAAACAATGTAGAAAGGGGAGGTTATGTTCCTGGGAAATGTCCTATCACACTTGTATCAGTTGTTTTCCTGTACACTTGAGCACTGGGCTCCCTGCTTGTATCAGCCTCCCAAAAAAATGGCCATGCCTTTTTGAAGGTGTGTCAGCTTAGAAAGCTGCAATGACACTCGTGATTCACCACCCTTGGCCTTTAAGTCCTTGAACGAACTTCGTGCCTTTGCCTGGATCACCAGTAAACTGAGGAATGTGGCGCTGATTTTAATCAAGCCACACTAATAACAAGCGCTCCCTATCTCCTGCTGCAAAGCGGCGTAACGATTTTAATTTGGTTTGCAATGTGATCACCTTCCTAAAATGTCGTGGCGCTTTGAAGCAGTGGGATCATTTCTTGGTCTTTTAGGACTCGTGTTGGTGAGGAATGCAGTGATAAGTTTCCTCCCCAAATCAAATCAAAACCAGTGCACAATGGAACTGAGATGAGCGGGTATACTTGCCGCGGTCTCTGTCATTCAGAGCATTGTATCAAAGCTCTCAGCCCCTACGCAACCACAACAAAGCGAGGACTTGCCGTCCAATTTGGCCGGTAGAGGGCGATGCCTAGCAACCGTACTGGCCGCCTTGTCCATCGATGCATTTTAAAGGGACATTAAATGCGTAGACGGTGAAGTGAGCCTTAGGCAACTTTGTAGCGAAACAACGTAGAACGGTGCCGACGATAAGCTAGGAGTGACCGTAGTACCATCGTAATCCCGCATCTCTGATTCGCACAATTGGCTACGTGCAGTTACGCAAAAACAGTTCTACATAATCTGGAGAATTCCGTACACAGCAGCGGCGGCAGCATCCTTCTGAGCGTTGTTTTCCCACATTTGATGCATGACAATAGAAATGTTATCAATCAGCATTGTTTTGCAATTGCTCCAGTTAATTTGCAAAGGATATCAGTGGGATCGGGATAGTGTTCCATTGGGCCAACACTTGGTGCGATTGAGCATACGTCATATATGATGGCTTGCGCTGTATTTCTTGGTGCACATAAGGTTTTTATTGACTACAACTTGTGTGTTAGCATGTATCTGATAACAGATGTTGTCTACATACACACATTCTGGGTTTTTTTTGCATTCAGAAATTAACAACTTTTAGTTTGCAGTTGTGAGTTATTTAGAAAATAAAAAAACTCAACAGTTGAATGCATATGCGTTTTTCATTTAGCTATTTTGTGTAATGCATGTGTTATGATTGTGCACTCTCCCTTGGAATGTGTGCCTTTGTTAGTCTATAAGTCAAATACAGGGTGTTCCAATTAAGTGTTCTTAACACGAGCTCTTTTTCTGAGTCCTCAAACTAAGTGGGCTCTTTGGTTCCCACACTATTGCATCGGATTTCTTGGCAGCAAGTGTGTGTGTGTGCAAACCAATATATGTTCGCGTTCTTAGAGCTGAGAGAGTGCATTTTGCCCACCAGGGCGAGCTCCAGGGATACGGTAATAAGTATTCCAATCTCTTTTCTAATCTTGAAAGATTTCCCTCCAGAGAGCCTTTGCACCGTTGGGAACAGCCAAAGCTAAACCATGCCAGATTTTGGATTTATTTATTCCACTATGTCCATGGTGCTGCGGTTGGCTTTGAAAAGGTGCCATTAATCTTTAGAGATGTGTGTCCAAAGCACTCGTTTGTTTATTGTTTCTTGCATAATTTTTAATCGTTTTTTTATTGGTTTTCTGTTCTCCAGAGGCAGCATGAGAAACTACTGGCAGATCTTGAGGATGAATGTGTGATTTGCATTTCCTTTAAAAGAAAACCCCACTGTATCTACATAAACATGCACGTTTACATATACATACCAGATGGTTGTGGTAGGGCCTTGACCAATCACATTCTTCTGTTTGCAAATTGGTATTGATTTATTAACACTTATTAACGACATGTAAGATTGTTCGCACAACAGCTTAAGCTTGAAGTTAAATCACCGTTTTTCTGGTTGCTGTAAAAACCTTCAGTATTTATATTCTGCATGTACAGAGTTATAGTACACACAACACGTGTCTTGAAATCCATCGTAACTTGGGCAAAAACAACGCGGTCAGAATACAAAGTGCTGGAAATTGCCACTGCAAGTTTTTGCAGCTAATTGTTCAAGCACTACGTCAAAGCACTGCTGAGGTGTGGTGGTGAGCGCACTGCTCTATAAACCCGGCCACCTGATTTAAATTCCTGCCCAAAACTAACATCAGTGGCGAGTGATAACCGAACTGTTCCAGTGTCCCCTGCCCCTCGCCACTTCAACTCACATCGACCAGTCTGGGTGAAGCATTGCTAAACAAACCCCCTTGGACCAACATAAACTAAACCATTATTTATAAAAAAGAAAACAAATTCTAGCGACCTGGCCACAAATGATAGCCCAATTAAGTGGTTTATCATGTGGAGATTTATATCAGCCAAATACTCGAAACGCATGTTGATTCTCAATGGGAGGGGTGGGGGAGGACCCGGAAAAAAAATACACGACCACGGGGAGAGCATGCAAACTCCAAATATAGAGCGTCAAGGTCGGGATCGAACCAATGACCTATACACCATGCGAGGTAGTTAACATCTCACCACCGCGGCACCCTGGTGTGGGGCGGCCTTCATCCAGCAGTGAATTGGCAGACGGCTGTAAATTATTATTTGAAATCACATTACTGTGTTGTAGACTTGTATAATGTATATTTTATTTCCCGAAATAATAAAAATTGGAATGCAGATAGTGTATAATTTACCGACACTGTGGCGTAAATATATCATGTCTTGATTTACTGTAGAAACCATGCCAGCTACAGAGCTAATGCTATCACAACCATTCCAAGCCAAGGGGGGTCTGGTGTTTTCAAGGGAACCATTGTGTCCATGGCATCACATGCCTGGCACTCGGGAATGAAAGCTCATGACAGAAATCTGTGGATGCTTGTAAATTCTCTCTTCAGCGTTTTAACAATGTTTACCCGAACGGGTATATAATTGTTGGCACACCACCGCTATCGGGCGTAAGAGTTGTTTCCCTTCTGTTTTACTTGTGGTCAACACAGGTGATCCAAAACAGGTAAGAATTTGTTTTATATGTCCACGACCGCTCATAGCTGACCAAGTTTGGCATGAGCTGACTTCCAAATACTTGTCATGCGCATGACCGAAACACTTTTTTTTGCACAGCACTTACAGAATCAGAATATTTATTGACTGCTGGAGGAATCTGATGAGCTATAAAGCTCTTTTTCACAGATGTCCAGTAGGGGCGCGTAACAACGTTACAACAAACAATACAAAAACACGATGAGAGTGCAAAATACAAGAAAGGTAATCAAATCACTCAAACACATACAAATAATACAACCATCCCCATCCTACCAGACAAAGCCCACTGAGGTATTAACTTCATTTTCAAAAGCGACCTGGCCACAAATGTTAGCTCAACAAAGTGGCTTATCATTTGGACATTTATAACAGCAAAGTAATTTAAACGCACGATTCTAAATGTGGAGGGAAACGCCGGAGGACGCAGAGAAAGAATCCACGCGACCACGGGAAGAACATGCAAACTCCAAATATACAGCAAGCGTCGGGGTTGGGATCAAACCCCCGATCTCCTGCAGACCAGGCTGAGGACGATGACATTGTAAGCACGTTTGTATTGCCACATGAAAGTTTTGGAACACAAACGTATCAAATGTGTTTTTACACGCTTTTATTTAACTCTAGTCGTCGTATCCTCAAATATTGTAACTCAATCTTAACCCACTTCCCAATGTGCTATCGACTGCAAACTTCGTATACTTGTGTCTTACTGATGACAATACTATATTCTATTTAAAAATATATATATTATTTTAAACAATCTTTTTTTACACGCTTTCTATTAACTCGCTCTGTCTGTTGTATCCTCAAATCTTGTAACTCAATTTTAACCCACTTCCCAATGTGGTATCGACTGCAAACTGTGTATACTTATGTCATACTGATGACAATACTATATTCTATCATTAAAAAAAAAAAACATTATTTTTTACATGTTATGTTTCGGCTTGGGTCTAATTGTCCACGCTCAACTGACGTTTGCTGTAAACCACCACGGTCCCTTACGTTGTGGCAAGCTTCGGGGCCACTTCCTGAAGTCGTGGAGTTCGTCCATTACTAGCACGGTACATTTAATTAAAGCGTGTTTTTAAAAATATTACTTATTGCAACACCTAACTGGGTATTTAATACTGCTAAGAGTGATGTTTCTTTGGCTGAAGAATAATGAACGATTGTTACATGGAGTATTGATTTCTCAAATGGGCAGCTTGGTTGTTGTCTCGGGGTGAGTACACCATGTAGGAGAGGGCCAGGCGGTGGTTGTGGATACTGCCTTGTGTTCCCTGCTTACTCTGCTCACGGGATCCCACTGCTGTTGGGTCTAATCATTGCAAGCGGATCCATCTAAAGAGCAAAGTCACACATAGATTGAACGCTTCAAGCTATGATATATTTAACCGAGCCTAAGTTGTTATCTTCAGTTAGATACAATTCCGCACAGTAAAATAATTTGATATTTACCCTCAGTGTGATCGTCATGGCTATACAATAATTTGTAAAGCAAAAGTATGTCTCCAGTGATGCTTGGGAGTCAACGCCACAATGCAGAGACGAATTGCAATGCCAACACTATGATGGCTGGTCTAATTGTTTTTATTTTTCTCTATTCAATAAAAAAATATTCGAGCACTTGGTGGTGTTTTTTGTAGCCGTACAGCACTAGCTAGTTGTGAGAATTGTTGCTGGTCAATCTCCGCTGAGCACTGTTGGCTACGTACGGTGCGAAAGAAGTGCAACATACATAAACGACTCTTTTTCTGCAGTATTTTTTTACAGATTGCCTCTAGGGGGCGTTTCTCCGCCGTGCATGTGGCAGATATATGTCACTGTAACAACACTGAAAGATCAATAGCCAAGGGTTTCGTCAGACATGATCTGGAGATTGTGAAAACAAAACATTGGAAATGATCCCCGCAACCGTGGGGGACAATTTGGAAAAAGACGTGAGGCTCAGTAAAGATTTTCATACTTTTGGGAAAACAATGTTTTGGCAAGTGTAAATAAATTAATGAATTTGTTTTTCACACTTCTTTCAAACCATATCAGATTGATGTCTGAGCTGGAAAAAAGCACGTCATACACCTCGAATGTGATAATGTGTATTATTGTCTAGCTTTAAAAAATGAAAGCGAGCCATGAATAGAAAAAAAGACGTGTTTCGTGTTTATCACGGTGATAACATTGTACCATGCAAATCCTTGGGCAAGGCCTTTGTGATTGAGCAGGTTGCCTTTACGGCCTCTGTCTCGCAAACAACGTCTTTATTGTAGCTGATAGCAGAGAAAGGTCACAATCCAACAATATTTACCCGCAAAGGATTCGTGTTGCCAGCGCATCTGGAGAAAGGCATTTTATTGTACGTTTTCCCTCTGGTATCCAAACTGTGCTTTTTGGTGCCACGTCATGAGACGGCGAATTACTTTGTCTCTCTCACAGAGCAGGGTGTCCCTTGCTGTTAGAGAATGGCTCATGGCAGCAGTTCTCGAACCCTTTATTTTGGGCGGACCACTTGAGAATTGAGGGGGTGGGGGCTGGTTAGGCGAACCACTTCACTGTTTTATTCTTCTACAAATCAAAGCACGTAACTCATATTTTAATAGCCGCAATCTTTACCTTTCTAATGCGATCGGTGTGCCTGCTTTTGTGAGCAAAGTTCCGTGAAGTCGGCTTACGTGTGTGTCAGCTTTAGCCTCAGGTCAGGTTCCAGCATTGACCCCGCTTCTGTATTTCGACTTGAGGGTGGCGAGCGATGAAACTCCCGTCTCGCACAGCGGCGTCGTCGCGAATGGCGTCGGGAAATGCATCCCTTTGTCCGCAAGTTCTGGGTACTCCTCATTTCTCTGAATACAAAAACTTCAAAAGGGGAATGTCTCTTCAAGTCTGACCGTAATGTTTCGTCGCAAGAAAGCTCAAAACAGACACTTCTGTATCTTGGTGGAGAAAACGGTGAATGGGCTACGGATCCAGCTATTGGGTTCAGCTTCAACTGGAAAAGTAATCTTCAAACTTTTTCTTGAGAGTAACAAGATCTTCTTCGATATCACGTTTTTACTTTGTTGTCCAAAAACAGTTCA